TTTTCCTTTGTTTAAGGGTATTTGGGCAGTTTATTCTCTGTTATATTCTCAAGTAAACAATACATACAAGTACAGTACAGTATTTTCTGAGGAAACACTCGTACTTATTTTTTTTAACCCCATTCCCGATAACCCGGCATTTTCACAAACTCGGCCACCCTTCGGTCCACATTAGGCCGAGTTTACGAGGTTCTACTGTACCATTTTCTTTTGTTTTACAATGATAAACAATCTACTATTTCAAGGAAATAGATATATTTGTTTAGCCAATTGTGTCAAATCATTTTACTGAATCTATAGCTATAAATGAAAATGTTTGTTTGTTCACTGCAAACCTAGGTCGTTTGACAAATTGCTACAAAAGTCAGCAGTTCCATTAATTAACATACTACTAACTTAGATAATATCGTACATACCACTCCAAAATATTTATTGAATTTACATGTAGTGCCATCTATTGGAGCAAAACTTTAAAAAAATAATAAACTAAATATAATTCACACAATAAAGCATATAATTAAAAAACCAAATATTATATTCACTTAATAATTGCAACAATGATATAGCACAAAGTTTTTCACACTATGAAACTATGAGCACTAAGTTTTGGCTCTCTGGAGGACTTATCACACACTATTGATGTTGTCCAATAAGTCAATAGTGTGTGATAAGTCCTCTATAGAGCCAAAACTAAGTGTTCATAGTTTCATATTGTAACATAAGGACAAAAAGCAATTCACCAATCTAGACACACTATATTATTATTTTGATGAGTAGCACATGGTACTTACCTGTGTGGAGTCAAAACTGTTACACTATTTACAGTTTCCTATAAAACTCATCCCGAGAGGCACCCCGTTGGCAGACTGCCCATGTGTCGCATTGCCGTGACCAAATAAACCAAATTAATTGTAATAATTTTTCTATAAACTTGCTATTTACAAGGACATACTTCCCACGTAATTTATAGACATTCTTATAATGTTCTTAAAATGGTTTTACCACATATATTTTTGAAATTTACATTAATAATGCCAAGTATAAAATTATTGTAAGGAGTACTTTATAAACACGGGTGAAGCTGGGCATAACAAGCTAATAAATATTGTGTTGATTGCTCTTTTAACTAATATAAATAAATACTAATTGTATGACATTTTAGTATTTTTTAACTCCTAATGCTTTGAAATAATGATTGTGATTATGAGTTCCCTAGACCCAACTCATATGCTAAAGAATCATTTCTTCACCCACAGGTTAAAGGGTTAAATTTATAAAAATTCATATTAAATCCATAAACTTAATATAATGATGTAACTGTATAAATATAATATAAATTAAAACATATAACATACCTAGAGTAGAGGCAGCTACAATTCCAGAACCAAGGAGTTTGGATATAATAATTTTCAGACAGTCCACTATAAAAATATTAAAATATAACCTTTTTTACATAATCATTTATTCATATGATTTATTTTTATTAAATCAACACACAGACACACACATGTATATATATTAAAATTTAAAATTGATTATATTCTATATTAAAATTTTTTAATATTTCAAACTTCAAGAAATTACATTATATTGATATATCTGACTGTATAATGTTATAGCAATGACTAAATATTAAGAAAAATAAATAGCCTGAAATATAGACATAACTACAAATAAGGTTAGTTGTGAGGAAATCCATAGAGATGTGTGGTCTCTGTTCTTTTTGTAAAGAAATAAATATAATCACAGAGACAGCTATGCTCTATGGGTTTCATCACAACCTAGTACAAATGAAATCAGGCACAAGCAACAAAACACCAGCATTGTGATAAAAATAATAAAAGGTTATTTCCACTAGACTGGGAGTCTCCCGAATCCTTTGCAAACATCTAAGCAAAAGTGATGTGGAAGTAGTGATTATAAGATCACCCAATGATATATGACAAGATTAAAAGTGTAAAAGAACTAATACCAAAAGGTGCAACAAAGTGGCATCTCTTAAACCCCAATCAGAACAGATGACAGGACAGAGTACTGGCAGCACATATTGCACACTTAAGATAGAATGTCTGAGTATAAAGACAATCTCAAATGGGGGAAATTATCTACAGCACTAAAGGAACAGAAAAGAAAGATGCTCTCAATAAAAAGATGCCACAATTCTGATAAAAAATACAAGATATTTGCCATTTGAATGACTGAGTTGATCACTACATCACTACCAATCCCAAATTTCTAGTCATAAATAAAAAAAAATGAAGGAAACAAACTAAATCCTTGGGTAGGTCTTATTTCTTCCCTAGTCGTGAGCCTGCCCCTGAAAATGAGCCTCCAGATTAAGCTTTACACCAAGTCTTGCTATTTATACCATACAAATTTCCAACTTTCACTTTTAATACTTTTAAATGTCTGTGCATACTTCCAAATTAGCTGTTTTTATTTACTGTTATTTTAGTCTTATTTGTATGCTTTTTACCATTTTTTGTTGATATGTTACCTTATCTGACTTCTATTTTAGTCTTTTTTATTGTTGTTTCTTAGTTTATACACTGATAATATTATTTCATCTTTATTATAATTTTTGTATTTACCTAAAAAATTGTTAATTTAAAAATATCTGTTAAGTTGTTAAAGAAATATTTGAATTTGTATTGTTGGTTAGAATCAAAAAGTTATGTATGAACAATCCTATTTGAATTGTCAGAAAATTGAATGTTGTTGATCTGTAGATGGGATTGAAAATCCCAAAAAGTGTTGAATCCGAATAAATATCCTCAACTCCTTTAAATATTAAAAAAAAATAAAAATTCAACAATGTTTAATGTTTGAATATTTTTGTTTTATTTTCATTAGTATTTGTAAACATTCAATTTTTTGGAAAGTGACCTGATGAAGGTAACTTCATCAGGTCACTTTCCAAAAAATAACTTCATCAGGTATTTTCAGTTTAATAAACGTTTTTTACTACTCTAAAAGATTATATGTAATTGATTGAGTGATCTACTTTGAATTTTATTGCTTTTATACACTTATTTTCAAATAATATCAATTTAAAATAGTCGACTAGTTTTCAAAGATTAACCATTAGGATATTAATTTATCTTGTGCTTCAATATTCTTCCAGCTATTATTTCTAAAAAAAATAATATATATATTTTTTAAACATTTAGTTTATATATATATAGGGTGTCCCAAAAGTAACACAGGATTTAAATTTTAAAAAGAACATATTATTTATTCATTAATTGGCAAAGTTATTACATCATTTTAAAGGATAAACATTGCAATTAAATATGGAATAGAATATCTGACAAACACCCTCATGACACATTCTTTTGACACAATTTTCAATTACATTTTTGCACAATTGCATCACATTTTCATTGATAACTTTTCAAATTTCTGCTTTCAATTCAGGAATTGTTCTTATTTTAGTGGCATAAACTTTGAACTTCACAAATTCCAGAGAAAAAAAGTTGCATGGTGTTAGATTGCATGATCTTGGTGGCCAATTCTAATCACTGTTGTTTGAGATGAATTGCCCAAGAAACTTCTGCCCCCACAACTTGGTTGTTTTGTATGCCATATGACAGGTGGCACCATCCTGCATGTCACTCAAATCCATGCTGTCCAAATGTGGCCACAAAAATTCCGATATCATCTCATGATAATGCACACCATTCACAGTAACTGCATTTTCAGCCTCATTTTCAAAAAGAAAAAAAATATAGCTGAAAATTTTTCCAAACACTCCATTAGTCCAAAATTCACACAAGACTGTCATTCATTGGGCAAGCATCAGTTCTTTGCACAGTCATTTCAATTGGCATATTCCCCAACCAAAACTGCAATGTAATTTGCACACAGTCATAGCAAAACTTTCTTTGTACTTGTAACAAGTTTTGATAAATCATTAAGTGCTCCTCCATTGTGTATCACTCCATATTAACTAACTGCAATATGTTTACTACAAGATGTCACTTCATATGGCATTGCCAATCCAATGTGAGAAAAATGGCACAAAATTTAAATCCTGCATTAATTTTGGGACACCATTTATGTATATAAACTAAATACTTTTGGCTTCTTCATTGACCCTCTTCAGGTATACAAGCAGAAAAAGGAATTCAAAAGCGTTTCCAAAAATTTGGTAGAATTTTATTGTAGCTAATGATGTTGGAGTGTTCTATACATTCGGAAATTTAAACTGGCAGATATCCAATAAAATTTGAATGTATAGAACAAATTTCCAAATGTATAGAACATTTCAATGTTGTTAGCTACATTAAAATTCTACAACATTTTTGGAAACTCTTTTGAATTCCTTTTTCTGAAGAGAGCTGATGAAGAGGCCGAAAATATTTGTTTTTTAAGAAATAATTAACGAAAGTAGTATTGAAGTGCTAGGTAAATTATTAGTTATCTTAATAGAATAGCCCATACATAGTTTTTGTGAATAGTCAAAGTCATTATCTGAATGCCCGAATCAGTATGAATGTTTGCAACAATCTCAAGGCAGTGCTGCCAGATGCAAGAAAATAAAATTTGAAGTTCTTTCAAAAAATTACGAATAGGACATAATTCCATATATGCTATACAGTGTTATTATCCAGATGATGATCACTGATCTAAACTAAATTCATAGGCCGTTGATAGTTTGGGGGTCATCTTATAGGACAGATATATGCCAAAACTATAAAACTTCGACGAAAATTTATACATTGTCTTATCTGTGCAGATATACGGTAATATCAGCAGAGTCAACCTTTCCTCAGATTCTTCTTTGCTTAAAAATACATAAATTGAATAAAAGACCCTATGGCACTGGATTCTTGTAAAAATATTTCTTGAAAAAATTTTAAAAAGTTATCTCATTTCCAGCTTCTGTGAATGTACTAGACTATTAGCTGATATTAATGGTCCATAGATCTACATCAACTAAATACAGAACTGACACAATGGGTTCATCTTGAGTTGATAATATGTCCAATTAGTACAATATTATAAAAATTTCAAATTAGTTCATAGTTGTCTGGAAACACTTACATTGTTTTACTTTCTACAACCATCTTTCTGTTTAAAAGGTTTGTAAAATGCAATGATAAAATTATATAATGTTATAAATACTTATTTTGATTTTTGTAATTGAATATTTTATATTAAATAAACTAAATCCAGTTTGAGTTACCACGATTTACCTTTTCTATTATTTATAATTTTAGAATGGTCATCAATTTTTATAGGTAGGTAAAAATTTTCTTACCTTTTTGATACTATATATATATTAGAATATTTGGTACTATTCTGTTAACTGAATGCCATTCAACTGACGACACATGAATTGTGTTAACTTCACAAAATTGTATTGAATTCACAATAAACAGCTTTTGCAGTGATTTTGAATTCAAAGCTAACCTTTCTACTAATAATGTGTAAAATTTATAAAAGTCTATTATGTTTTTAAACAACACTAGTTAGAACCAGTTAATCCTGGCAAATGATTAGCATATTTACACAATAAGACTATTGTAGTTGTGAAATTTTACATATTTTTGTTATTTTTCTGCATTTCTAAAGTTAGATCTATAATTCATTATGGATATTGGAGTTAAATAATGTTTAAAAATTAAAAATTTACAGGTTTTTATTTATTTTTTTTAATATTACCTTGTGTAATGCCAGTCCTCATATCTGCAACATTAATTATGATATATTATGTAAATTAGGTCTATCGATAGGCATTATATGTCTCCAAGTAGCGCACTGGTTTGATGTGTTGAATGTGTTTAGATAATTTTCTTCTTCACTTCATGTTTTGTTTCTGACTTACAATGAATCCATTGCATTTTTGTACACTGTTGGATTTTCCAAATGATGAGGAAAGTGCAATATGTTTTATTCGAGAAAAAGGTATTTTGCACAGCAAAAGTTCAGAAATCATCCAATGACTGTATTTTTGCTCCTCTGATGTCCCAAGATGGAGATGCAATACCTGCTCTGCCAAAATATTGATGAGGGAATTACAAAACAACATTAAGGAAGGAACAAAAAAAAAAATGCGAAATGAAACACTGTTTTTTTCTAAAAAAGGAATAAAAATGATTGGTGCCCAGTAAACCGAAGAGTAGCCTACCAAATATTTCAATGGTAAATTTTAATCTTTAAATAACTTTTTCAACTTCTTTTTCAAATTAATAGTCATTGTAAAAATAAATTTAGAATTACCAGACAGGTCATTTATTAAGTAAAGTAGAATCTCATTTGAGAAGAAAGGTTCTAATTAGAAAGATCAGAAATACCTAGTTATTATATGAATGTAAATTATAACAATTATAACATTTATTAAGTAAAGAGGAATCTCATTTGAGAAGAAAGGTTCTAATTAGAAAGATCAGAAATACCTAGTTATTATCTGAATGTAAATTATAACAATTATAAATTTATTACAGTAAGAATCCATTTCATTTAAACTGATTTGTAATATTGATATTATAAAACAAAATCAGTTTTTACCAAATTAAAATAAACATTTGTCAACAAATATAAACTTAGAAAGTAAACATCTTTGCAATTTTTCCTTCATTAACAGCAAAAAAATTAAAGGAAACTAAAATGTTTATTTCTTAAATTTTTTAAAAATATACAGTACTGTACATAGTGACTAATTCTAATAGTTCTGAACTGAAAAATAAACACAGATTATCTTATCTCTCTTTATGAAAGTTTATTTAATATATATAAGTACTGGATCCAGAGGTACTTGAATAAGTCTAACTTGAAAATGAAAAGTATTTGAATAATTACTATACCTTTTATTAACATGTGCACAGGAGAAAATACAAACATCACAAATTTTAGGAATAAAGAACTAGTCAGAACGTGTACAATTCTATTGATAGTGCAATAAATGTTTTTAAAAACATTTTGTGATTTGAACAAATAAATTTTAATTTTTTTTTGTATCAATAGAAAGGGCTTAAGACCATGTAGCTCCTTTGTATGGATATATATTACACAATTTAGCATCAATGGATAGATTTGTACTTTCATTATATAAAGAATCTTTAATAGCATTTTTTTTTGTTTGTTTTAAACAACATGTGTAATGCCTTTCAGTAAACTGTTTAATGTAACTAATGGAATTGAAGTTTGGCAGGTATATC